TCCTCCATATAAGAAAACCTTTGTTTCTCAGACCTCCCCTCCAGAAACTCTTAAAGACATCCAAAAGTTCTAAACATGACTCAGGAGAATGATCCACTCCCTCATCCACCCTCTGATCCCTTTGTTCATATTTACGCTACATTCAAAGAATTTGCTGATATCTATCCTCCTCCTCTTCATTCTCTGGATTCTTCTCCTACTTCTACAACTAATGTTTCTTACCATATTACCCTTTTATTGTCTCATAATAGCTCTTTTGCAGTCTTCCTCATAGTGTTACTCTCCCTTCCTCAGACACACTCTCCATTTGATCTGATCAACCTATACCTTTAACCCCATCCCCTGTTACAAATCCCCACTGTATTCCATTTGCTCCCCCTCTATTCCCTTTTCACTACCAATATATCCTACAGTGTTCTACAACCTTATCCTGATTGTTAACTCATGTCCACCCTTTTCGTCACAATACTCTACCATAGTGCTATATGACCCATGATGTCTAGCACACTTATTTCTACTAGCCATTAACCATTTACTATCAAATCATATGAACAGTTCTGGAAGTCGTCATACTGTCTAGGCAGTGAGCAGATTTTAAATAAAATAATAGTTAAAGCACAGAATGGACATTAACCCACTGGATCTAAAGGCCAAAATCTGGGCATTTGGCTTACTTGAGTGTAATTTTCCCAGGTATGTGGATTGTAGGCCCAGCCCACACAAACACTATGCATGGTATCAAGACTTCTACCCATCACTTAGCAACAATAGAGCATGGCAAGAGGTAGCTGTCACTCACCCCTCGGCCAAACTTTTCATGTCAAAACATCTGCAATCCAAGTGGTTAAATTTGGCTTGAAGATATTTAGGTATTCAGAATCAGGATTCAGTTTATCCTTTTGTGAAATTGAATGTCATGAGATTCACAAAATGTTAATGGATAAAAAGCTTTGCTTGACATTCCACAAATAGATCATGAGAACAGGGTATTTTTAAATAATTTCACAGAACTGGTATCAGGGTTATAACGAAAATAGTACTTCACTTGAAAGTATTTTTCAGCCACTGAATGCTAAAATTGCCATTAAAGTGATTCAATTCTTTGATTATATACCAAGTTATTACCCCCCCTAATCTCTACCCTTTTCACAATCATACTACCCTATAATACTGTTCAACCTGTAACTTTACCCTAATCATTAACTCATTCCTAACCCATTTTGCTACTCTACTTTACCATAGTGCTATATGACCTTTGATGTCTTATAGCATTTCCTTACATGGGGGCTTTGCCCCCAAGCTTGATGCTATCTCTATATTTTAAATGTGGCAGAAAATGTTCAATAAATGATAATACCAAGTTATGATGTGGTAATAGATTCTCACAAGAGAGAAATAGTACAGGGAAATTTATACTTTTCTAACCAATGTAATTTATGATGATAACATCTCAGATCTGAGTAGAATTTTTTATAGGAATCTGCAGTGATATTACAAGATTAGTCATTTATTTTGATAACATGTAAGTCATTATTATACACACTACTTCTGTCTAGTAATAAGAAAAAATGTCCCAGAAATACAACTTTTCTTGGAATAAAAAAAACAAAATTGATTGACTGATCAACATAGAAAAAAAAAAAAATCATAATGGTGCTGGGTTGTTGTTTAATTTTGAGTAGCTAAGGTGCAAAGAATGCCAATATGTGGAAGTATGAATAAATTAATGAGGGTAGCAAGAGAGTATATAGTCATCATTTGGATTTGCTAATGTGAATTGAATACTATGTTTATAACATTTTATGATACTCTTCCTGTTTATATATAAAAGTTTCATTTTTTCCCCACGGAATAGAAGGTTACAGTTTTGAAGCCCCAGCAGAAGAAAGACAAAAGAGGATTATGTCACTGAAGTTATGATATGATAGCAAATATTATTTTAGAAATTTGTCTAAATGACATGCATATTTTGTTTTCTTTTCTTTTCATTTGTATAATCTAAAACATTTTACTCTTTTGTTTGATTAGTGCCAGGCTCACCACCTGTACATGCATCAGTGACGTGTGTATGTTCACAATCTAGGAAATTGTGTCTTTTTCTGTATAGAGAATTTTCATATTCATTAATTAAATGCATGTAGACTGAAATTCTCTCCTTTTTTTCACAGGTGCCAGGGAGCCTGGATCCAGACCTGTTCTTCGAAGTTGCAGACATGGACACTTGATGCTAAAATCAGATAGGGGACATCTGCTGTAGGCATCTTTATTTTACTTTACTGCCAACCAATCTTGTTTGCCAAACCTTTTGCTAACCTTACGGTGCTCACCACAGTTGCCTCCATTGCTTGCATTGAAATTTTCCTTATAGTTTTGTAGTTGTTGATTGTCCCATGTCCTCAAACACTGTTATGAAAGAATATTTTGTGTAAGTGAAACTTTTGATTTAAGTATACCTTGCATATGGTACTTACATATTACTATACTAAGTTTTTAGGTAAAGGGCATATAAAATATACATATCTGACCTCTTTGGTCCTTTTTTTATTTAAACTGAAATAAAGAAATATGCCAGCTACCTTCTGGCTTATTAATGAGGTAATAAAACCAAAGGAGTAGCCATGGTGCATTTAATTAGTATAACTCTGTACCTACCTTTTTCCTTCATTTTTTTTTTTTTTTTTTTTTTTTTTTAGAAATTGAACTGTAATCAAGTTCAAAAGCAGATTTTTTTTTTCTCTCTGTTTTCTTCTCCAAAGTCTTACAGTTTAGAACTGTGTCTTCTCATTAGGTTCACTTGTTTGCTATGTTTTGTTGCCTTTATTTTCAGGGTAAAGAGGGTCCTTTTGGATTTCGAGATAAGATTACATAGGTTGTGATGGTATTCTATTCCAATTTCATATTTATGGGAAGCGAAACAGTAAGGTTGTGAATCTTAGTGGAGCTTATAAGTGAGCCAATCAATATTTATGTTTGTGATTGATGTATATAATGTAATATTGTGTACATTAGCAAGAAATTTGTTTAAAAAACATACCTCATGCCAAGAAGTCTGCAATGAGATATTGAAAGTTTTGGTAAAAATTGTTACTAGTCACTGGAAAAAAATACTTTTATTTTAATTTTTCCCTAATGCTGGACATAAAAGGAAAATGCATCTAAGATTAATTTTACTGAGTACATCTAGTTAGTATTATGGATATTAATATGTATTAAATGATGTCCCAGTCTCTTATGCGTGCCTGTTAGAATAAGTGTTGTTTTCATCCCTATTCAATATCTTTAGATTGCCACCCTTTTTCATAAAACGAAAACAAAAAACAAGAAAAAAAGTATGACATTTTCAAACCTTATTTCTTTTGTGCTTAATCTTTGTGCAGTAAAGTAGATTATCTTTTGCCGGCAAGACAGCAGTTTTAACCCTTTGCCGACGGGCATACCATGCCATGCCCACTGTGAGTTTACTCATTTGATTGTTTTTACACATAGATGGCTACACCTGTACTAAATCACCAATGAACCAATTATGAGTACTGCCTGTCTCGCCTGTTCACCCTTTTCTTTGATTTTTGAAAATATTCTACGTTATCTTAATTTGCTATTACTAATGTTTATAACATTTTAGTAATTATAATGTTTATAATAAAAATAACACCATCGATATTCAAAGCACTAGTAAAAAATACATTTTCCCGCCAATTCAAGGAAAGGTGAAATCAGATAAGGCAGAACCATCTAAGTGTAGTGACATTTCACAAAAAAATATAAAAAGTGAGCACAGCATTTTCCCCATATTTTATTCATTTTCCCTGTCGGCAATGGGTTAATATGAGTTTTTTGTTTTCAGTATTACCGAGTCTTTACCTTATAAGTTGCTTGTTTTTTGCTATTGAAAATAATCCTTGCATATTTCTGCATTATGTCTGAAAACACAGGGTTGATATCCTCAAAGAAAGCAGAGGAAAAGGATCATGAAACAGTAATTATAATAAGCAAATGATAAAATGAAAATGGAAACGCTAAAAAAGCAGAGGTACTATTAGAATAGCTATAGTATTGGTATAAATATAGTCTTACTAGTTAGGTGGAGAGATTAGTAGATACAAATATGAAATGGAATGGGAAGGACCTTGAGTTTTTGTACTAAATGGTGACTATCCTGTGCTGTGTTGTCTACCTAATTATTATTTATAAAGATCAGTATATTCATTCTTGCACATACAGTTATGTTAGGTTTTTAAAAGAAATGTTAATATGAGTAACCCATTCACTGTTTACTTTGGTGTGAAAAAATGTTCCAAGGTTTCATGTGTTTTGGACTATGTTTTCATCTTATTCATATGATTTATATGCATATCATAAAGTATGTTTTCATGTATTTAATATTATTATTTTCATTTTTTTTCTGAAACTATAGTAGTCTGAGTTTAGTAATTCATTGGCAGTGAGTGGGTTATGTTATTTATAAGACCATTTTTTTTATTATTACAGTTCATTAGAATTTCTTTTGTAAAGCTCTGTTTTAGGAGTTTCTGTCACTGTTTTTTTTCTTTCTTTCTTTCTTTTCTCTTTCTTTTTTTTCTTTTTTCCCCCAAGTTCCATCACATAATGTTAAGGGGCATCTATACATTTCTCGCATCATGAATTAGAAGACCACAAAGCAGTTTTCTTCTCTTTTATTTTTTATTTTTTATTTTTTTTATAAAATCTGTACCTAAGATACAGTTTCAAATTGGCATAAGGCATTTATCACAAACTTCACTGCTTCATTCATTCATGTACATGCACAAACACTTGTACATACCCAGCCAGCTGCGCACACACACACACACACACACACACACACACACACACACACACACACACACACACACACACACACACACACACACACACACACACACACACACACACATATATATACATGCATGCACACAAACAATAAATACAAGTCATTACTAAACATAAGTAGCTTGCTTGTTCTCATAAGCTTTATAGTTGTTTTTGTAGAGTAGAATTATCCCAAATATGTATCATTCTCCAGACCATAATATAGCTCGACATTAGGAACTTGTACAGAGTAAATGTTACATATAGCAGCTATGACTCTAGTTATGTTCTTTAAAGCAATACAATATTTTGGGGATGTTGACTACCGTTACTATTGTCTTGTGTGTGACCCCAGGACCACCAAATGAGTCAGAAGTTGCAAATGACATTTTTAAACTTTGTAGAGCATCAGCTTTCTTATGGAAGTTAATATACTGAATGGTTCCATAGTTACCATGCCTCATAGAAAATGTAAAAAAGTATAGGCATTCTGGAAATAGAGGAATTCTGAGATCGAGAAAGTCAAAGTCTAATTGTACTGTTAATATAATGCAAAATGGAAACATCTTTGCAGTGTATGCTTAGAGTTGGCTTAGAGATTTGAAAATTTGGTAATGTGTAATGAGAAGTCATTCTCAAATATTACAGTTTTGTAATTAGATATAGTGATGGACAGAATTAAAGAATACAAATTTTGAACATAGAATTTCACATAAAGCTTTAACCCCTTCGTGATGGGTGACACCTTTAGGCGTGAAACCAAACCGCTTGAAATTTGGCGTGTGGCTGTGAGGTGAGCTGGTGATTCGGCTTGATGTACCGAACTCCCGCACTCAAAGTCGGCGCGTTGTCATTGATCGTAGAGTTTTTTTTTTAGTATTCTTAACCCGTCACCATTGGGTTAACCCAATTTGCGCGAGCTCTTTCAGCGGTTGTGTGGTCCGCCAGTTGGGCATATCTGTATGGGCTGCATCTGTAGGGATGACACCCGCAGCATCAGCACTATGCTGCCTTGGCATCATAGTAGATGCCACCTGCGAACAAGGGGTTAAAGGTTACAATAATGTGCACAACTAAATATCAATATTTGCTACAATGGGAAAGAGTTGTTTTGTTACTTTTGCTACACAGTGGAACTGTACAACTTCTGAATCAGTTGGTGGTGTAGGTCATATTTGCTAGTGTATGTAAAACTTCCTGTATGAGGCATTATATAATTTAACTGGTCTGCTAGTTTTATTGGGTATTAATGATTTCTACCACCTGCATGAATATTTTATTAATATGTGATCAGAAAGGATTGTTAGTGAAAGTTCTATTATTTACTTTTTGTTATATTCTAAGCCGCTTTAGTTAATCTATGATTTACATTTAGATACATTATTCATATTTATTGTCTTTGTAGGTAGAAGCATATTTGCTAAACTGTAATTTGTGATGGAAAAAGATTGCCCAACAAGTTGAAACATTTTGATGTTTGATGTATGGTTTTGAAGAGCATGATTATGGTTATTTTTAAAGTTAGTTAATTAATTAATTAATTTCTTATTTAAAGTCCCTGGAAAAAAGTAGTATTTAATTCACATAGAGGAAAGATGCATTCCTGCACTTTCAGTATATATCATATTTAGAAAGAAAAAAAATAATAAAATAAAAAAGTCTTTTTTTTTACAATCAATTGTGTACAGTAAAATTATTGCTATACTAAAATTACACTCAAAATTATCCCTTAGCAATGTAGTATGTGGGCATCCTTAATCCAGCTTGCATCCCAGAGGCTTTTGAGCATTATCCTGTTAGTACACTTTTTAATTGAAATCATATGGATTGTTTTATTTGAATCAGTAACTTAGTGGATTTACATAAGGCAGCCTTTCCTCCTAAGTTGTTTTTCTTCTTTGTATTTCCAAAAGTAGTGACCAGGGTAATGTGTGATATTGCTGATCACCCGGCAGCTTCTGATTGTATTTCTGTGAGAAGAGCTTTTATCACCAATGAGAGCAAAACTGCTACCTTCCATCTATTATGTCCTGATAATTCTAATATTCAATATCCCATATTTTATGAATGTAGCTAGACAGCACTATATTTTATATATGTATATGATTATACAGTTGTTTAATAAAAGTACCTAATTCATTACATGTGAGACAGAAATATTTGACTGTGTGTGTAAGGGTCTGGGTTTTGGATGGTAATGGTATTTTCAGCTTAAAAGGTAATAAGGTTGATAAGTGTGTTCTGTGCTTTGTATGAAATCTTTACATTTCTTTTCAGGGTTGTGTTCCTTCTGGTCAGTTACATATGTACATAAATAGTGCATATATTGTAACCTAGTAATAGACTTTGTATTCTTTTTTCTTTTTTTTATATAAAACTGAATGTTACTATTTTTTCATTACCAATGAAATTTTTAGATTTGGAGAAATAATTTTTTTTGATCATTTGATTTTTGTGACTTGTTGTAAAGCGGGAAAGCATTTTTTTATGTTTAGATATTTTATGTACTATATTTTTTCTCTATGGTTGTGTTTTACAAGTCAAAACAGTATATAAAGAGAAACATTGTTTAAGTCTCCCTATACCTGTGTTTAATGTCCTTTTTATGATTAATTAGCTTTTGATATTTATGATGGTTTACAGGTTAAGTAAATTGATGAAAGTTAGCCAACA